CCTAGGCGCGACGCGGCACGCGGGCATGGTCCTGTACGGCACATTGCTCGCATTCCAGAACGCAGGCCTGCCACGTCATGGCACGGCACGCGGGCACGGGACGGCACACTCTTGCGCATCCTGAAACCAATGCGCGGGCGGCACGTCACGTGTCCCCGAGTCTGAAATCAGCGCACGGCACGGCACGGTACAGCACGCCGGCACGGCGCGGCACGCGGGCACGCGGGCACGGCACGGCACCTTTGACGCGTGGCACAGCGCGGCACGGCACATTCTACGCATTCCAGACCAAAGCATGGCACGGCACCTATCTGCAAGCGGGCCTGGCAATGAGAACGATTTCGCACTCTCGAACCCAGGCGCGTCACGGCACGGCATTTTTTCCGCATTCTAGCCATGGCGTATGCTGCCCCCATCGTACTTGAGGACCACATCCCAGAAATTATTTCGAGCACCCGGAAACGCATCGAAAGAGTGTCGAAAGAATGTCGGACGAGTGTCTCCCAGGGCCCGACACGTGAAACTCCTCGAGTTTGGGGGTACGTTTCTGACGCTCGAAATTCTTTCTGGTGGTCAAGGCGTCAAGGCTAAGGTAGGTCGGAACATCATAAGCCATGGCACGGCACGCGGGCACGGCAAGACACGGCGCTCCAACGGCAGATGTTTCGCATTGTGCGCAGGGGGTGAGATCGCAATGAAACGGAGAGGCCCTCACCGGGAAACTGTTCTCGGCTTTGTGTTCGTGTCGTGCGTGCGGGCGAGGCGAAGCTGCGTGGGCGGGCGAGGAGAGTGAACCCTTCTCTGGCTAGGGCGCGACTGGACCAAAAGACAAGCCCCCCCCGCTTGCTGGCGGTTACCGGGGGTGTCCCGTGGTACCCCGTGGTGTCCCGCGGTGTCCCGATGGTGTTCCGATGGTGTCTTGGTAGTGTCCCACTGGTGTCCCGACAGTGTCCCGATGGTGTCCTGGTGGTGTCCCGATGGTGTCCCGATGGCGTCCCGCTGGTGTCCCGATTGGTGCTCCAATTGGTGTTCCGATCGTGTCCCGCTGGTGTCCCTGGTGTCCCGATGGTGTCAAGGTGGTGTCCAGGTGGTGTCCAGGTGGTGTCCCGCTGGTGTCCCGATTGGTGTTCAGAGTGGTGCTCCGATCGTGTTTCGATGGTGTCCCGATGGTATCCCGATGGTGTCCCGAAGGGGCCCCAGTGGTGTCCCACTTGGTGTCCCGTTAGGAGATCGATAGAGAGATCGATAGTGACACCGCAATGGAGATCGATAGTGAGATCGATACTGGGTCCGATCGAGTGGTGTCGATCGTGAGATCGATGAAGATGTCCCGTCGGTTGCCTGTAGTGAGATCGATCGTGAGATCGATAATAAGATCGATTGAATGAGACGTTGGTTCTGCCCCCCTCCGCCCCAGACCTCCTTACCATCCGAAAGGTAGTCGTATAGGTATCAGATATGGGCTGATACAATGTACTCAGACCCATTACAGCATTCGCTGCTGAAGGGAATTTTCGGATGTCGTCGACACATGCGGAAACTCTGATGTTTGTTCTTAAACACACGCGAGCAACATAGTATTCCATGTGTCTTTGATAGATGTCGGCGGCCTTGGGGTGGGAGCCATTTTGGGCCCACCCCGCAGCCTCTGGTGCTCTCTTGGCATCGTGCGGGAGCCCTCTCGGGACATGCAAGTGGGCACTCCTGGTCGTCTGGAGGACGCTTGGAGCCTCCAGGGGGGAGCTCCAAGGATGCTCGGGGCACCTGGGAAGGCTCTGGTGGGTTCGACAGCACTTGGCGTGGTCTGGAGGGGGGTACAGCAAGAGATCGCAACGACGGAACCGCCAAGGAGTCGCGAACACCTCTGGGCCCTTGCGGGTCTGCGCTTTCTGCCTCCCGCTCCTCCCGCTGCTCTGCCTCACCTGATCTTACCAGCCTCGAACTTTTCCCTATCCCTAAGATTGACACGCCAAAAGGCGATGACAATCTTAGGGACTCGCCCTCAAAAAAATAAGGAAATCCCTAAGAATGGCATCGTGATGAGGAGATGCCCAGCATAGGGATAGGGATATGTTCCAGGCTGGTAATGATCGGGTGGGCTGGGAGGACGCGGGCCCGGTGGAGGATCCTAGTGGCGGCATCATGGGCTGGCGGCCTGGCGGTTGCCAGAAGCGTCCCTGGCCCAAGGTGCCCCCACGACTCTCAGGGAGGCACCCGCGGCCTCCGGAGCAGCCTTCGCAGGGCCCGGGGGCCCCCCAGGCCCCCGGCCTTCGAGAGTCGAGTGAAAGAGTTGGGGGCACCCCTGGGCCAGGAGCAGCTTCAGCAGCCCACGAGAGAGTTCCAGAGCTGCAAGGGGTCCGCGGCGATCGCATGCGGTCGTTCGTCTCCGGCCTCGCGGGACGATAAGAGAGCCTGCGAATTCTGGGACGTATCGCTATCATGACTTCTCGTTGCTGTGGCCCCGTCCATCTGTCAGCATCTCTCCTCTCTTGCTCCTGCATGCCAATGTGACAACAGACCGACAACAACTCCTGCCCGTTTTGAATAGGACTCGATGTCGGTGTTGCCGCGGTCGTAATCAATCTGAGACGGTCATCGTACTCACTTTTGCCGTATCCATCTCGGCCGTGCCAAATCGAGCGTTACGGCGTATGGGAACCCTGACCTCCGACGTCGTGAATAAAACACAAAAGCGCGAAACCCTGGAGATCTGGACTGCTTCCCAGGCGACCGGCTTCTCATCCCGAGTCGCTGTCTGATGGTCCCTGGGCGCCGTCAAGTGGGGAGCCGAACTCTATACACCGACGCTTTTTCCGGCCCTGCGCTGAAACTTGCACAAGAAAGCGGATCCTGGTGTATACGGGATCCTGGTGTATCATGTTTCGCTGTTTTCCCGGGGAAGACGGGGAAAGAGTATACAGCACACCACCCCGACGTCCTTCCCGACCCTCGAAAAGGTTCTGGGATTCAAGAACAGCCCGCCACTGGCAATGTGTATACGTTCCAGTTCCCGATGCAGGGCCCCAAAGGCCGAAAACAGAGAGAACAACTGCCCTCCACGATCTTTCCCACGACGCGTGGAGCTCTAGCTCCGGGGTCACAGCTGGGGCCCCTATAGCTGCCGCTCGGGAGGGCTCGAGCACCCCCGCGAGCGCCGTCGGCGAGGCGCAACTGCTGGCGGAGAGCACCCACCGACGCCGGAGCACGTCCGGGAAGGTACGGAGAAAGGCCAGAAAAACCACCAGGATCCTCACAGAGAGTCACGGGCCCCACATCCTGCCACCACTGCGGGGCAACGGTCGCGGGGACCGCCTCATGGGGGGGGGACATCGGCCTGGCATCGGCGGTACGTCGCCGTCAGATCGGCGATTGGCCACCGGTAGCGAATCAGTACGCCCATGGATGTATGAAACGACCCCAGTGCCCGAAGACATCAACAGCCCACCGCCTGCCGAGGTCTCCGAAGATCGATCCCACAGGTGGTGGGCATAGATCAAATCCCCACCCTGCCTCGGATCGCTCCATGCCTCGCAACACAGAGAGAGCTCTTGGGGTGTGTCGCGTGCGTCTTCTGACAGCCCAGAGGGTCCCAACACTGGTCAAGAGAGCCCCGGAAGACCTCCAAGGCAGCCCAAGAGGAATGGGGCCTTTTTGACGCAGTTTGAAAACGCTTGGGGCCTCTTCTGGGCCTCTTGGGGGCCCCTTGGAGCCTCTCGGAGCCCTTCCAGGGCCTCTTGGGCGCCTTTTTGGGGCCTCCCGGGAGCCTCTTGGGGCGGACGGCATGGATTTTCTGTTCGTGTTCGCTCTCCTGGGTTCCTTTTAGGGTTGCCTTGGAGCCCTCTCTTGGAGGCCGTTTGGGGGCCTCATAGAATCTATGTTTTGGCCTCTTGGCGGTAGTTCGGACCTGTCGCGGGGGCCTCTTGTGGGCCTATTGGGGGTCTCTTGGGGCCTCTCCGGGGCCTCTTGGGGGCTCCTTTGGGGCCTCTTGGTGCCTCCAGGGGACCTCTCTGCGCCTAGAGCTCAAAATCTCCGTTCGGGTCCCCCGTCTGGGCCCGCTTTTGGAGCCGTCTTGGAAGCCTCTTCGGCCATCTTGGAAGGGGGCCCTCTGGGGCCGTTTCGGGTGCTCTTGGAAGCCTCTTGGGCCGTGTTGGGGCGATCCTGGAAGCCTCTTGGGCCGTCTTGGAGCGCCGGTAAGCCGAATAGGCGAGAACGCCACAGACCTTCGACAACTGACGGAAAATCATACATTTCTGCCTCTGTGGGCATCTTGGGAGGTCTTTTGGAGGCCTCCTGGGAGGTCTTGAAGGCGCTTTGGGCTGTCTGGAGGCCATCTTTGGCGTCTTGGATCCTTCTTGGACCGTCTCGGACCATGTTGAGCTCTCTTGGAGGTCACTTGAGGCTTCTAAGAAGGTGTCTTCGAAGCCGGGAGGGTTCCTAAGAGGCACCCTGCTGTCTGAGAAGGCCACTGCCTTCTTAGAAAGCCAAGCCCTCACGCCACTCCCTGGTGCTCGCTGCCGACACCCACACCTTCTGTGTTCGAGCTCCCCTCCGCAGGAAACGCGGTGAATTCCGTTCTCTCGCACTGCCTCCTGGAAAAAGATGCCTCTCCGGCCCGCGATGCGCGACGCGCAAACATCCTTACGCCCCTGCAGGTGCACGGAACTCCCGCGGAGGAGAGAGAGAGAGCATGCGACCTCTCGCAGCGCCCAAAGGGGGGAGGGAATAGCACACCGGGGAGCTGGAAAAACACGCCCGGTTCGACCCACGCGTGGGACCTCCGGGGGCCACGCGCCGGACACGCGTGCGAACTTCTGGCCTGTCCTGCCACCGGGGGGCCGAGCGCTGGGAAGACAGCTGGCCACAATGTGTGTCCAGCTCTCGCCCAGGCTGGCCCCGTCATCCGTACCCAGCTCCCCGGCACGAGGAAGAGAACGACGCCACGACGACGACTTCCACGACGGCGAGGGCGGGGCGAGGGCGACACGACGACGCGCTCGCTCCTGCAGCGGGCCGACGTCGATCTCTTCGCTGTCACTCTCCTCTCCTCGCAGCGGGCTGGGTGGGCGCGGGCGGGCAAGGCAGGCGGGCAGATTCTGGGGCGGCCTCGGGCCACAGGCGTGTGGACAGGCCCATGGGGGGAGAGGATGCCCTCCTCCTCCCTCTCCTCCTCCTCCTCCTCCTCCTCCTCCTCCTCCTCCTCCTCCTCCTCCTCCTCCTCCTCTTCCTCCTCCTCGTCTCGGCGGCGCGCAAGCAAGACAGTGGGGCGTCCTCCTCCTCCTCCTCCTGCTACTGCCTCCTCCTCTTTCCTCCTCCCCTCCTTCTCCTCCTCCTCCTCCTCCTCCTCCTCCTCCTCCTCCTCCTCCCCCTACTCCTCCTCCCCCTCCTACTCCTCCTCCCCCTCCTCCTCCTCCCCCCCCCCCTCCTCCTGCCTCCTGCCTCCTCCTCGAGGGAGGCGGCCGGCCTCCTGAAGGGATAGGAGACGTCGGCCTCGATCGGAACTCGCCCCTTGATCGTGGACTCTGTCCCCCCCGCATGCGTGCCATCGACCGATGGCCGCCTGGATGTGCCCATAGGGACATCTCGGGGAGGGGTCGTCGACAGAAGGTTTGGGAACCCGAAGGACCCAGACATCGGACGTCTTGATCCTTTCAATGCGCGGCCCCCGGAAGCCCCGACCCTTTCCCTAGGACCGGTTTTTCGTCCCAGATTGTTTTCTGAAGGCCACGGGACCCGTTCGGGGCCCCCGGAGGCAGAAAATTGCGAAAAACCTCCGCCTGGATTTTTCTAAGGCGTCGGAGCTCTGGGGAGCCACAGGCTCTCACTCCTGAGCCCTGCAGGGCCGAGGGACGGCAAAGGAAAAAAGAGGCGGGAGGGGCCAACGCATCTGGAAAAAGAGGAGGGGGGGGCAGGCGTTGAGCAGGGACCGACTGTCCCGGCATTCCTACAGTCCTACCATTAAGTCGGGCCTGTCCCCCTACAGGGGGATGTTCGACGAGCAGTTTTTTCTTAAAAAAAAGAATGCCCGAACATGGTCAAACAATACTCAAAAGATAATCCCCAGACCATGTTTGGATATTGTTGGTGTATTTTTGATTGTTCGTCGAAAATCCCAAATCCCCCGGTAGGGGACAGGCCCGACTTAATCCTACCACGAAATGTTAGAACCCAAGACTTTTCTAAGAGCAGAAGCAATGTTCTTAGAACATAAGCCCGATGTGATAAAACAGGACAGGCTTTGCCAGAAATGTTCTAAGAACATGTCGCGGGAACCACAAAAGGCTCTTAGCACGTTGTTTGGTAGGGCTGCAGGTGAGCCAGGACGCCTCGCCACTGCTTGAAGGAGGGAGGAGAGGCGTCGGGAGGAGGTCCCGAGGGCAGGAGGGCGAGGCCGAGGAGGAATTGGAGCGGCGAAGGGCACGAAGCGGGAAGGCCCGGGGGGCTGATCGAGGAACGGAGGGGCCCTCCTGGCCACGAGGAGGATCAACCCCCCTCCCCCTCCCCCTCCCCCTCCTCCTCTTCCTCCTCCTCCCCCTCCCCCTCCTCCCCCTCCCCCCCCTCCCCCCTCCCCCTCCCCCCCTCCTCCTCCCCCTCCTCCCTCCTCCTCCCCCTCCTCCCTCCTCCTCCTCCTCCTCCTCCTCCTCCTCCTCCTCCTTCCTCCTGTGGCCACGGCGAGCCTCGGCCACACCACGGATCCCCGGCCAAGGGCCGAGGCATGAGGCCCGGCCCGGCACGCAGAGCCCCTCCGGATCCCAGCGTGGTCCAGATCTCAGCGTCCTCGCTGTCGCGCCATGGGAGGCCAGAGCACACGCACGGCCGCACCTGCACGCGCTCGGGATGTTGACGCTTGCGGACCAGGACATGGTCAGCGTGTCGCGCCGAGGCGTGGTGGGCCAGAACCGGCGGCACGACACGCTAAGGAAAAGCTCCTGACCGTATTCCCCTTCCGCAGCAACCAACAACATATCATTGCAACGGCAAGGTACGTAGGTCCTGTAAACTCTCTTGGAGACGGACGTGACTGATTCGAAACGGAGCTTCTGATGCCGGAAATGAATAGCAAACACATGTGTGCCAGTGAACTCTTTCCGATGGGCCCTGGGGCCTGGGAGTGGCCCTTGGAGGCCGAAGGCGGAGAAGAACCTCATGAACCCTTTCTCGCATGACATCAACGGGGGTGCGTTTTGTCTTGATACCCGGGAAGAACCCAGCAGTGGTCACAAGCAAGAAGACACCCAAGCTTGAACAAAGAAACTGCCAACCTTCTAGAACCTCGATTCTCGGTCTTTGCAGTGAATGTGCTTTTCTGGCCCCCAGGTTCATGACCTCCCCCTGCAAATTCACCAACCCAGGCCTCTCCTGGAGCGCGTTATGCTTGGGTCGGGCATGTCCCCCTACAGGCGGATTTGGGAGACAAATTACTCAAAACACATTCCAACCACGCTCAAACATAGTTACAAAAAAACGTCCCCAGCCCATTCGTTGGCAATTTGAAAATTTTCCCTGTGTAGAAGGACAGGCCCGACTTACCGTTATGCCCAGGATGTGGAAGTGGATGCAGCCGTGGCGAGGAGAAGCCTTCAACAAGCCCAGACGAACACACACACACACACGCACACACACACACGCACACGCACACGCACAAACACACGTACACGCACACGCACACACATACAAACGCACACACACATACAAACACACACACATTCAAACATACACATACAAACACACACGCAACACACAACACACACACACAACACACACAATATACAACACACAACACACGACACACGACACACAGCATATACCATACAGCACACAACAAACAACACACAACAAACAAAACACAACATACTATACACAAGACACAACACACAACACACAATACACAATACGCAAGACACAAGACACAAGACACACGACGCAACACACAACACACAAGACACAAGACACAAGACACAAACCACAAGCCACAAGACACACCACAAGAAACAATACACAAGACACAACACACAAGAAACGAGACACACGACACAATACACAAGAGACACGGCTCAAGACACAAGACACATCACACAACACACACCACACACCACACAACACACAACCCACACAACACACAACAAACGACACACAACACACAACACACAAGATCCAACACCCAACACCCAACACACGACACCACACAACACACAACACTCAACAAACAACACCCAACACAACACACAACGCCCAACACCCAACAACCAACACGCAACACGCACCACGCAACACGCAACGCGCAACACGCAACACGTTACAGGCAAAACGCAACACGCAACACACAACACCCAACGCACAACACACAACACACAACACACACCACACACCACACACCACGCAACACAGAACACACAACCCACAGCACAATCTACACAACACACAACACACCACACAATCCACAACACACAGCACACCACCCAACTGCCAACAGGCAACAGGCAACAGGCAACAGGCAACAGGCAACTGCCAACACACAACCCACAACACACAACACACAACACGCAACACACAGCACGCACTACACAACACGCAACACGCAACACGCAACACGCAACACGCAATCAACAGCACCCAACACCCAACACCCAACACCTAACACCCAACACCCAGCACCCAACACCCAACACCCAGCACCCAACACCCAACACCCAACGCACACCACCTACATCCCAGCACACACCGCACACCACACAACACACAACACACAACACACAACAATCAACACCCAACTCCCAACACCCAACACCCAGCATCCAACACACAACACCCAACACCCAACACCCAACACCCAACACACAACAAAAAACACACAACAGTCAAAACACAACACACACCACACATCACACCACACACACAGACTCCACACCCCACACCCCACAACACGCAACACACAACACACATCTTACCACCCACAACACACAACACACAGCACGCACCACATTCCACACACTACATTGCACACAGCACACAGCACACAGCACACAGCACAGAACACACAACACACAACACAATCCACACACCACGCACAACACGCAACACACAACACAAAACATACAACACCCACCACCCAACACCCACCACCCAACACCCAACACCCAACACCCAACCCACAACCCACAACTCACAACCCACAACCCACAACCCACAACACACAACACACAACACACAACAGACAACACACAACACACAACACACAACACACAACACACACACCACACAACACACACCACACGCCACACACCACACACAACACACCACACAACACACAATACACACCACACACCACACACCACACACCACACACCACACAACACACCACACACAACACCCCACACACACACACACAGCACACACAACACAACATACACAACACACAGCACACAGCACACAACACACAACACACAACACACACCACAACACACACCACACAACACACAGCACACAGCACACAGCACACACCACCCAACTGCCAACAAGCAACAACCAAGAGACAACACACAACACACAGCACGCAACACACAACACACAACATACTTCAGACACCACACAACACACAACACACAACACACAACACAACACACACACAACACACACCACACACCACACACCATACAGAACACACAACACACCACACAACACACAATACACAACACACAACACACGACACACAACACACAGCACACAGCACACAGCACAGAACACACAACACACAACACAATCCACACACCACGCACAACACGCAACACACAACACACAGCACACAACACACACCACACAACACCCGCCACCCACCACCCACCACCCAACACCCAACACCCAACCCACAACCCACAACCCACAACCCACAACGCAATACACACATCGCACAACACACAACACACAACACACAACAGACACAACAAAAACTACACAACACACAACACACAGCACACAACACACAGCACACGGCACACAACACACAGCAAACAACAAACTCCACCACACACAACACGCACCACACAACACACACCACACAACACACAACACCCAACTGCCAACAAGCAACAACCAGCAGCAAAACACCCAACACGCAACACACAACACACAGCACTCAACACACAACACACAACACACAACACACAACACACAACAGACAACACGCAACACACAACACACAACATACCACACACCACGCACAACACACAACACACAACCCACAACACACAACACACAACACAATCCACACACCACACAACACGCAACACACAACACACAACATACAACACACAGCACACAACACACAACACACAACACGCCACACCAAACACCGAACACCGAACACCGAACACCGAACACCGAACACCGAACACCGAACACCCAACCCACGACCCACAACACACAGCACGCAACACCCAACACCCAACACACAGCGCGCAACACGCAACACGCAACACGCAACACAGAACGTTCAACACGCAACACGCAACACACACCAACAACACACATCACACAACCGCAACACACAACACACAACACACCACACACCACACACAACACCAAACACACAACACACAACACACACCGCGAACCACACAACACACAACACACAACACACAACGCACAACACCCACCACCCAACACCCAACGCACAACACGCAGCACACAACACCCAACAACGAACTCCCAACTTGCAACACACAACACACACCACTCAACACACAACACACAACACACAACCCACAACAGACAACACCCATTGCACAACACATAACACACACCACACAGCACACAACACACAACACACAACAAACAACACACAACACACAACACACAACACACACAACCCAACACCAAACACCAAACACACAACACACAACAGCCAACACCCAACACGAGACACACAACACACAACACTCAACACACAACACACAACACACAACACACAACACATAACACGCCACACACAACACCCAACACCCAACACCCAACACACAACACACACCACACAACACTCCACAAACAACACACAACACACAACGCACAACACACAACGCAAACACAAACACAACACACACCACACAACTCACAACACACAAAACACAACACATAGCACACAACACACAACACAAAACACCCAACACCAAACACCCAACACCCAACACCCAACACACAACACACAACACCCAACACCCAACACCCAACACACAACACACAACACACAACACCCAACACCCAACACCCAACACCCAACACCCATTACCCAACACCTAACATCCAACACCCAGCACCCAGCACCCAACACACAACAAACAACGCACAACACACATCACACACACCACAACACACAGCACACAGCACACAACACACAACACACACCAGACAACACACAACACACAAAACCCAACACACAGCACATAGCATTCAGCACACAACACACATTACTCACCACACAACACACAAAACACAAAACACACAACACACAACACTCAACACACAACACACAGCACAGAACACACAACACACAGCACCCAAAACACAACATTCAACACACAACACGCAACACGCAACACTCAACACTTCAACACACAAAACACAGAACACAACACACAACTCACAACACACAACACACAACACACACCACACACCACACACCACACAGCACACACCACCTTAGTGGGCCCTGGAAACGACAGGGCAGTTTTTTCACCGGGTCCGTTTTGCAATTTTTTTGCAGGTTCCGACGCCGTTTTTTTACCGTCTCCGTCGCCGTTTTTTAACCGGTTCCGGCTCTGGTTCCAATCCTGGAGCCGTTTTCTTAACGTTTCTGGTCGCCGTTTTCCATTTTCAGGGGACATTTTTTCAGAAACGGTGGCGAGAACGGCCCTGCCGTTTCTGGGGTCCACAAAGCACACCACAAACCACACGCACCATACATCACAGAACACAATCCACACAACACACAGCACACAACACACAACACACAACACACACCACCCAACACTCAACACCCAGCACACAACACACAACACACAACACACAACACACAACACACACCACAACACACACAACACACAACACACAACACACAACACACAACACCCAAAACACAACACACAACACACAACACGCAACACACAACACACAACACATTGCACACAACACAGAACACGCACCATGCAACACACAACACGCAGCAAACAACACACAATACACAACACACAACACATAAGACACAACACACAACACACAACACACAGCACACAACACACAACACACAACATACAGCACACAACACACAACACACAAAACACAACACACAACACACAACATACAACACACAACACACAACACCCAACTCCCAACACACAACACACAGCACACAATACACAGCACACAACACACAACAAACAACACACACCTCACACAGCACACCAAAAACCACACAACACAAAACATACAACACCCAACACCCAACACGCAACACACAACACACAACACACAACACACAACACACCACACACGACACACAACACCCAACACACAACACACGCCACACAACACACAACACCATACACCCAACACCCACACACAGCACAACCAACACACAAGACACGACACGCAACACGCAACACGCAACACGCTACACACAATACACAACACACAACACACAAGACACAACACACAACACGCAACACACAACACGGAACACACGGAACACACAAACACAACACACGACACACACCACACAACACACAACACACAGCACACAACACACAACACACAACATACAGCACACAACACACAGCACGCAACGCACAACACACAACGCACACCAAACACCACATAACACTCAACACACAACAAACAACGCAGAGCACACAACACAGAACACAGGACACACAACTCACAACACACAACACACAGCACACAACACACGACACACACACACAACACAACACACAACACACAACACACAGCACACAACACACAACACACAACACACAACACACAACACACAACACGCAACACGCAACACACAACACGCAACCCGCAACCCGCAACACGCAACACGCACCAGACAACACACAACACACAACACACACCACCCATCACGCAACACGCAACACCGAACACGCAGCACACACAACACGCAACAGACGACACACAGCGCACGACACACGACACACGACACACAACACACAATCCACACACACCACACAACACACAAGACACACGACAGAAGACAGACGACACAAGCCACAACACACAGCAGACAACACACGACACACAACACACAACACACAACACACAACACACAACACACACACAACACACAACACACAACAAAACGCTGGACAGACAACACACACCACACAACATGCAACACGCAGCAAACAACACGCAACACCCAACACGCAACACACAAAACACAACACACAACACACAACACACAACACAACACACAATACACTACACGTTACACATCACACACACAACACACAACACACAACACACAACACACAACATACAACACACAACACACAGCACACAACACACACACAACACACACCACACAACATACAACACACAACACACAGTACACAACACACAACACACAACACACAACTCACACACGCACACCTACACAACAACCTCTACGCTAGAACCGCCTTCGTGGTGACGCGCTTTCCCTGGCCTTCAATAGAGGAAGGAGCTCCGTCGTCGCCCTCCGGCTCGCCCGAGGCAGCGTCGACCTCGGCGTCCAAGCCGCCTGCGGGCCCGTCGCCCAGCCACTCCGCGAAGAGGTCCTCGACGCGTGAGCGCCGGGGAGGTACTCTCCCATTCCTCGTGGTCGCTTGTCGTCGCCCTGCTCCTCGTCGTCGCCCTGCTCCGCGTCGTCGCCCTGTTCCTCGCTCCGCCTCGTTCCTCCTAAGTGTCCTTCTCGCTTCTCGCTCCTCGCTTCTCGCTCCTCGCTTATCGCTCCTCGCTCATCCTCCTCACTCCACCTCCCCCTCTTTGCTCCTGGCTCCTCGATCTTTCTCATCCTCCTCCTCCTTCTCCTCCTCCTTCTCCTCCTCTCCAACGGGCTTCGCGTGATGGAGCAGAGGGAGGGTCATTCTGCACGGACGACCCTCGACGGAAAGCGAGCTTGGGGCGAGGACCTGCGACTTCCGGGGCCTGGGCCCCTCGCGCCGTAAGATCGTCACGGCCGAACTCTTTCCATCACTTTCGGCCTCTGTTGGGTGTTCGTCAACGGGGGTCACGAGCAGCGGACGTATCTGTATCCACGCACTCGCGGTATGGATTCCGGGGCGCGATCCCGCGGATACGCGGTCGCACGGTTACGTTCCGCGGGGCATCCACGACAAGAACGCGCCGTATCCGCGGTGTCGCGGCCCAGGGGCCCAGCCCGCGAGGCCGCGGCTACGGAGATGTCTTTCGCCGACGAGGTATGGGCAGTGAACGTGGGGGGCGAGGACGCGCGCAACCGCTGCTGGGCTCGCGGTGGCCCTTAGGGCGACTGTCGCCCTACCCTTCGATCGCCCCCACACTTGTGGCCTCCTCCTCCTTTCTTTCTCCTTAGAAATAACTTCTCCCTGTCGCACCCCGAGGCAAGTTTTTAGGGCGGGCCGGGCGTTTCGCTTGAGACTTCGCCACCATTTATCACCCTAAAGCTGAAACATTGGCAACAGCTTCACAAATGTAGGGCGGGTCGTTTTCAAACTGTGGCTCTCGCCTCAGCGCCGCGTACATTCGTTTCCAATATGTGCAAGGGTTTCACATCTTGAGGGCGGGTGGTTTTCAAAATGTGGCTCTCGTCTTTGCGCCGCGCACATTCGTTTTCAAACCGTGCAAGAGTTTCACATAATGAGGGCGGTTCCTTTTCATAATGTGGCTCTCGCCTTAGCGCCGTGGCTCACGCCGCAACGCCGCGCACATTCGCTTTAAACATTTGGAAGAGTTTCACGGATTGAGGGCGGGTGGTTTTCAAAATGTGGCTCTCGCCTCAGCGCCGCGCACATTCGTGTTTAGACATTTGCAAGAGTTTCGCGGGTTCCCAAAGTCAGCGTGCAAAGAATTCTGTTTTTGGAAAGATTCAGGATTATGAGGGCGCGACAGTTTCGTTGATTCGCTGTGTTGAAGTCTCAAGAATGGTGTTCTGGCACGCTTCGAGATCGCCAAGACGCAACAGTCAGGTTGATCCGTGGCGTTGGAATCCCGAGAACATTGTTTTGGCATGCTTCAGGGTTTTCAATCAGTTGTCTTCCAACGCGGTAGCTCCCTCAGTGAAAATGAACCGTTGTAGGGGCCTATGAAGAGGGAGCTTGGAGGGAGGATTCATTCCAACATCGTTGATGACTCTTGGGTTTCGACTGGTCCTCCTCCTCCTCCTCCTCCTCCTCCTCCTCCTCCTCCTCCTCCTCCTCCTCCTCCTCCTCCTCCTCCTCCCCCCCGTCGCCGACCGCCCGACTCTGAGTGCCCTGCACGCACCCTGGGACAGGTCTGGGGGTCAAATCTGAGGCCTCAGACCCAGAAATCTGGCGCCTTAACAAACATCGGGGCGGTCCGTTTTTCGAAACTTTGGACCTGCAATCCGTCACACAGCCTCTCAGGATGAGAAGCCAGGCCCAGGACAGGGGGCGAGATCTCCTCGTGGATGAAAAGGAACGCTTAGCACCGACCTGGAATTGGTGTTACATCGTCGATAGATCGCCGGTAGGCACCCGCTACCGATACCGAAACCGCGCGCTCAGGGGCGGGGTGGGCTATCGGGCACCTGGCGGCGATCAGAGGGCGATTGCGCGTCGATGCATCCCCACTCTGAGCCGACGGTCAGGAACTTTGGCTTAGCGTGTCGCCGCGGCGGCCCTGGCGACACGCTGTCCTGCGAGCGGATAGCATGTCGCTCCGCTCCGCGGGGCGGGATGGCGGGGAAGGCTCAGACTGTTGATGCCTGGGGACTGGGATGTGGATAGCGTGTCGCGCAGAAGCGCGGTGGGCCAAAACCGGCTGAGCGATACTCGGGAGCGCGCAAGCATGGATTAACGATACATGGTTTTGACGCGCGGTCGCCAAATCCATGGATCGGGGGCGGTGCCCTCCCCAAAATGCGGCCGGTGCCGCCTCCGTCGGCGGCGGAAATCCGCGATCTCCCATGCAAACGGGACCCGTCGCTGATCCACGCCCCCTTGATCCGTTTTCGCGATCGCCTGAGACAGGCCTATCCCCGCGTAGTGTTTCCCTCGATGGGGTCTTTGGCTCGTCGTCGTCCTGCGCCTCATCCTGCCAGAGGCGACGACGAAGAGCACCGTACGTCCTCGGCCCGATGGCCGCCCCCGGCTCGCTGCTGTTGGGCGGCCACCTGGGCGAACAGCGCCTGGAGCTCGCAAAGGCAGCGGGGCGGGAGGCGGCAGAGGAGAGTAGCCCTCTGCCGCCTCCTCGTCGCGATCGTCGTCGTTGCTCGCTTCTGCCCCTTTTTCTCCTCCTCCTCGGACTCAGGCTGGTGGCACTAGGTCCCGATGACATGGTGTTGCACCCCCCCAAGCGGACAACGCCACTAAGGAGGTTGAAAAAGTACAAATAGAAAGAAGAAGAAGAAGAAGAAGAAGAAGAAGAAGAAGAAGAAGAAGAAGTAGCCCCCGCCCCCTGGGCGCCGGCTGTGCTCGTCGATCTTCCTCATCCTCCTCCTCCTCTTCCTCCTCCTCCTCCTCTTCTTCCTCCTCCTACTCCTCCTCTTCCCTCCTCACCTCATCAACTACAGTGCAGCAGATCACACCTGGTCTTTCGGGACAGGCCCAAGGGCTGGCGAGGCTTCTGCGCCGCTGCTATCCATCTCTCTTCGGTTTCGGGCACCACTTGGTTTGACAAACGAGCCACAGACAGTGCTTGCACTTAGCGGCTCTTACTTCCCCTCTAAGGATATGGGTCTGTCTGGCGGTCCAGCGGCTAGGTTGCCGCCATCGCCGCCCCGTCGCCGCCTCGTCGCCGCCCGTCGCTGGGCCTGTGTGGCGGTCTGGCGGCTATGTTGCTGCCGTCGCCACCCCGTCGCCGCCTCGTCGCCGCCCGTCGCCTGGGCCTGTCTGGCGGTCTGGCGGCTATGTCGCCGCCGTCGCCGCCCCGTCGCCACCTCGTCGCCGCCCGTCGCCTTGGCCTATCTGGCGGTCTGGCGGCCATGTTACCGCCGTCGCCGCCTCGTCGCCGCCAGATCAGATGTTCCACATAGACTGCACAGCATTACTTGCACCACATCGAATTGCAAAACATACATTGCGCCACATACGTTGCACAACATAGAGTGCACAACATAGATCTCACCATCAAGATGGCAGTGCACCAACTAGGTTGCACGACTTTGGACGCACTTCTTACCTCGTATAAACTGTACATGTGTATACGCAATCACGCATATGTATATCTATATATACCTTTAGACAGATGAACTACACCACTCCTTGTACTACATATGCTGCATCACCTCGTATACAAAATACGGGGTGCACCGCATATATTGCACAACCGAAGTCGCACAACGTACATTGCACCACACATGTGCGGCACCACCGAGATTGCACCACAGATGCGTGAACAACAAATTCTGCACAACATAATCTGCACATCTTGCATATGCTGCACGGCGTAGGTTGCTCCATGCATATTGCACAACGAAGCACTGCACCACATACACTCTGCAACATTGATTGCCCCCCGTAGACTGCACAGCAGATTTTGCCAGACATAAATTGCACCACAGCTATGTCAAAACAGAAGCTGCTCCACATTACACAACATACTTTATCCTTTTTTATAAACACAGGTTCTACCACCCTCCCCCCCCGGACTTATCCATTCCCCTTCTCGTATTGCAATTCACATACGATTCTGCCCCATCGTCCATCCGAGCTGTGAATGCATACGATCCCAGCCAAACCGGTATCACCCCCCCCACCATCCTCAGCAAAACATGCTATGCGCGCGCACTTGTTTATCAAGGTATCATAAGTTTCTAAACATCCCAGGAAACAGATCGGACGAAATGCGCACGCGCGCGTGGTCGCGCTCGCATGCCGAAATCCGTCAAAAACATTTGGTTTCGGACGGGTTTCGAAATCGAGTCTTCAACCACCAAAAATACAAAGTTTAGCAACAGGGATGTTCAAAAAGCTTGCGCGCGCGCTCTTGCGAATTCGGATGAAAACCATTGGTTTTTCAATATTTCCAGAAAATGCTACGAAACGGGCTTCGCGCGCGCGCATGTCGAAATCGTTCGAACGCCCTTGCGCGCGTCTGGGGGGGCACGATCCGTCTTAAATCCGCCGACCCTGTCGGCGTGTGGAAGACGCATCCCGGTGTCGTCGTCTTGCGTGGATCACCGTCGTCGTCGTCGTCGTCATCGTCGTCGCCCGAAATAATAAACAAAAGTAGAACACGAAACAAAGGGAAATCGTAGTCGTGGCCAAGCCCCTCCCTCCCCTCCCCTCCGGGGGGGGGCAGATACGCATCCCCCCGGGCGACCCTCCCTCTCTCTCTCCCCCTCCCCCTCCCCCTCCCCCTCCTCCTCCTCCTCCTCCGCCTCCTCCTCCTCCTCCTCCTCCTCCTCCTCCTCCTCCTCTTCCTCCTCCTCCTCGGTTGGTGTGGGCGGCACCTCCCGGCGTCCGGGGGAACTGTGAACTGAAACCCGCTCAGTGGCCTGTATGGGGGCTGCGCCACTGCCATGGGAAGGTGGGTGGATTCGGCAGTGGGGGCACCGACCCCGGTCTTCGGGCCTAAACAGTAAACCCGTTTCGGCTACGGCCGGTTCGGGTCCCCTCCACTGTCTTGGCCTGGCGACTCCCCGGTCGCGCCAGGGTGTGGAGGGGGGGTCTGGCTTCGGCCAGGCTCATGGGGAGTCCTGCTCTGTCCCCCTTGGGCAAGGGGATTGGGGGGAGCAGGCCAGGGCACCCGCCCCGAGTCTCGCACCAGGTGCCCCGCCTGGTGGCGAGGTGTGTCCGGTGTCCCCGGCCAGTGCCTCCTGGAGTGCCTGGCGGGTGGCAGGGGGACCCCGTCCCCTCGGGGGTGTGTGTGTGTGCTGGAGGCGTAGGACGTGTACGTGCACCTCTGAGTCTGAGTCCCACTCCCCTCCTAGGCCGTTTAAGGTCACTGCACATGCCCTGGCAGTGTTGGATTTTAAATATTTATCACTACGTGATGGCGGAAATCCTGGAAAAATCCTCCTCCTCCTCAACCTCCTCCTCCTCCTCCTCCCCCTCCTCCTCCTCTTCCTCCTCCTCCTCCTCCTCCTCCCCTCATCCTCCTCCTCCTCCTCCTCATCCTCCTCCTCCTCCTCCTCCTCCCTCCTCTCTCCCCTCCTCCTCCTCCTCCTCCTCCTCCTCCTCCTCTCTCCTCCTGCTCCTCATGCTCCTCCTGCTGCTGCTCCTGCTCATGGTCCTCCTCCTCCCCTCCCCTCCTCCTCCTCCTCTCCTCCTCTCCTCCTCCTCCCCCCTCCTCCCCCTTCCCTTCTTCCTCCTCGTCCTCCTTCTCCTCCTCCTCCTCCTCCTCTTCTTCCTCCTCCTCCTCCCCTTGCTCCTCCTCCTCCTCCTCCTCCTCCTCCTCCGCCTTCTCCTCCGCCACGTCTTCATTGACCTCCGACGTCTTATCACTCATCCCGTCCCCCTCGAGGGCCGAAGTATCCAGGGTCGGCGGCACTGGCCGCAAGGCCCTAGCAATAATACAATGTGGGCCACTCTCGCGCGCTTGCCGCGCGCGCATTTCGAACTCCTTCTAAAACCTTCATCACCAACGCGTCGACGCCGTCATCGTCGTCAGCGTGATCAGCATCGGCGCCGACGCTGGCTGCCCCGTCGTCGCTGTGAGCATCGTCGCCAACATCGCTACTATCATCTTCGTGTCTACGTTTGTCGACGTGGCCATGATACCGCGCCCGCCCACGTCGCCGACTCGCATTGAAGTGCCCGCTGGGATGTGCCGAACGGTCAACGTCACCGCGTTCGCGTCGGTCGCGCCAAACTAACTGGCCGCTGCGCGCGCGAGCATGCGCGGGCTAGAGCGGCCGCAGAGATGCACCAGCCAACACCAAGCACTCTTCGCAATCGCCGCCGCATGGGTTTTACCAACCAAATTGCGGGTGGATGGGTGGAATGTTTGCGCGAGCAGTGGAGTGGACAACTCACTGCGAACAGACATGAACTTGCACCTCATAGATTGCACCACCTCTTGCGCACAACATCTACTGCACAACATGTAATGCACAATGCAGATTGCACACCAGAAGCGGCACCATCTAGATTGCACCGCGTTGATTGCTCCACGACGATTGCACAACATAGTTTGCTCTACGAAGGTAGCACCTCATATATTGTAGGAGCACGCGTAGTGTGGGGTCCACGCTGGCGAACAGATCTTAACCATGTCCTCCTCCTTCTCGTCCTCCTTCTCTCCCTCCTCCTCATCCTTCTCCTCCTCCTCTTCTTCCTCCTCAACCTCCTCCTCCTCCTCCTCCTCCTCCTCCTCCTCCTCCTCCTCCTCCTCCTCCTCCTCCTCTCTGGCCCGCTGCACCAGAGAGGGGTCCCTTTCCCCTTGGTGTAGAAGCGGGCGGCCTTCCCGCATAGGCATCGGCGGCAGAAGTCTGGTGCCCCGAGGAAACCTCAGCTTGCTGTGGTGGTGGGGACATACTCTGAACACCCGTCGGAGATGATTCTGTGACGACGACGACGGCCTGGAGGCCCGGTGCCCGCCCGTGGGCGCCTCGCGCGCTGGGTGGCTGAATGTTTTCAACCGCATAGTTTTCGCCACATAGCGTTTACCACCTAGCTTACACCACGTAGCTTGCAACTCATAAGCTACAGCGCGTAGCTTACACCATATGGCGTTCAGCGCTTAGCTTGCACCGCATGGTTTACGCCACATAACTTACGCCCTGCACCATTTAGCTTCCACCGCATAGCGTATCCCACGACATTGCTTACGTCACACAGCTTGCACCACATAGCTCGCGCCACAGATATCCCACCAGCCCTCTGGGCGTAGGTGGTCTAGAACAGATCCTCTTCCACCCCTCCCTCTTCCCCCTTGGGGAGGGGTTTACCCCTCCCCCTACCCCCTCCCCTGGACCTGGACGGGGGGGGCCGCGGGTAGTTAGAGCGTCCAAGATGGCCCAAGACGGCTCCAAGAGCGCCTCAGAGAACCCAAGATGAGCTCCAAGATGGCTCAAGATAGCGCAAGATCGCTCACGATGGCTCCTAAGATGGTTCCAAGAAGCCCAAAGACGGCCCCAAGATAACTCCAAGTGGCCAAACAGCTCCCCAAGGAGGCCCCGAAGAGGCCAAAATCGTCCCAAAACCTAAGGAAAATCAATGATTTTTGCTTTCTCGCCTTTTCGCTTCCGAT